AAAATCTCAAATAAAGCGATCCATACAAAATTGTTTAATTTACTCCTAAATATAGGCATTTCACTGTAAATGCTACTACAACTTAAAAAATATGAAATATTTTTACAGTAACATCTACGATTCTTTAGGAACAACAAAAGTACTCGACTTCTGAGACCTTTTTTTACCTACTTACAATACAACTTATACGTACATATGTATCAATTTTCAAAAACCTTAAAGTGTTATACATAAGAATATACATGAAATGTATTTTAATTATGAACCCAAATTAAAATAAAATTCCCTGTAACATTTAATTTTTAATAAAAACGCGGAAGCACACATTATATGTGTATATACATATATGTGTATAGCTTTTGACTATTAGAAGCACATGTTTGCTTTCTAAAATTGTAAAAAGTTTTAACTATTTCAATTTATTATCGTTTCTATATTGTTTGTATCATAGGTATCTTATAGAATATAAACAGTTCGTACATGATATAAGGAAGATGTACACATATATGTACGTGAAGATCAAGCTGATGCGTGCCTGGTAATTCTTTTACATCTTCGAAGAAAGTACACATATATATATATTATGTACTTATTTCATAAAAAGCTGAACTTTCTTTTAAAACGAAGTTCCGTACATGGTTTTCTTTTTTTATTTATTATTGCATTTTAGAAATTTATCTTATATATACAATACATATAAATATTTTACACGTATATAAACATTATTTGCTATATAAGTATCATACGACACGATTATAGCCTTAAAATCGAAACTACATTACATTATATACGATCAAAAACAATTATAACTACAAGGCAAAATCGAGTTTCGTCTTTTACTTCTTAATTTTTTTTTTATTATAAATTATCTTTTTATATGTTTGTAATATCCTTCTATATACATTTTATATTTATACATATATAATGTTAAAATGCACGGGTATATAAAAAAAATTTTTGTTAAATTTTCTTTCCCTGAGTGTATAACAATTTTTTTACTTTATTTTTTTATACTCATCGGCAATATAAGAAAAAATAAGAGAAAAAAAAAAACGATTTTGTATCCTTAAGGATAATACAAAATTAATATATGCAAAAGGATTTCCTTTTTAACGTTCCTGTGTATATTTTTTTCGTATAAAATGTACAATAAAAATTTTACTGGGAATAGAAGAATTTATTTTATTTCTTTTATGCTTGTTTATGTATATAGATCGTTGGGGTAGATGGGTGATGAGACGACGTCGTTGGTTGTGGTAATTGTTTCATTTTATTTTTTTGTTTTTAAAATATTTTGCGGGTGGATAATTTTATTATTTTATAAACTTGAATATAGATTATGATTATTATAATATGTGCATTATCCAAAGTCTAGGAAAATCAGAACAAAAAAAAAAAGAAAATTAAATAATTTTATTGTACAAATAATGGATGTTTTGTATGTACATCACAAATACAATTGGGAACAACAATACAATTTCAAGCAATTCATTTACTTAATAGATGTATACATCTATTTGATTTTTTTTAACATCAGAAGGAAGAAAATAATTTATATTAAATTTAATTAAGAATTTTGTATTATTAAAATCACTGAAAATTTGCAATTTTAAAACAGCTGTTTTAATACTTGAACAATATTGATTGCAAATCCTTAAAGCAAATCCTTAAAGGGGCATAAGCAAAGTTTTATAATTTAAAATTAAATTAAGTCATTATAAGACAAGGTTACATTAACTCACAAATATTTGGATATTTCATTTTTTAATTTCAAATACTTTTCTGTTTTGAAATAACAACCTTTTCCAAAAAATACAAATCTATATTATATTTTACAAGATTTTTCCAGTTCATGAACAGGTATACATATAATCTAATAAATAACAAAAACAAAAAAATGAAAATAGCAAAAGAGAATACTGGGTAGATACATTACTCAATTGATTATACATACTGTAAAACAAAAACAAAAAATGAAAAGCGAAAAGCGAAAGAGAATAAAAAAAGAGTAGTAATATTTTTTTTGTTTTTTTGCTTTACTACCATAAACAAAAATAAAAAGCAAAAGGAAGCGAAATATTTTAAATGAGTTAAATAAGAGTGAAATAATTTTTTGTTGTTGTATTTAACATGGAATGGAATTAAAAAAACTAAAACTAAAAATTGTGAGAGATATAAGAACACGAATAATGTTACGTTACGTACTTATCTAGATAACGTTACGTACTTATCTAGATAACGTTGTTTAGAAGGAAATTTTTCGTTCTTAATTGTTAACTAATTCTTAAATTGAATTTTAATCATATCTATGTAATTAACAGTGACACATATTACATCTTAAAATTTATTAAATTAAAAATATTTCCATTACTTTTATTTATCATTAGTATTCAAACCAATATGATATTTATGCATATGCAAGTATATACCTGCATATGTATGCCATAATATGTACAAATTTTTCTAAAGTTATTTTAAAATTGATTGCCACAATCCTGTTTTTACAACAGATAATACTGCTTATGCAAACCACAGGGGCCCCTAGTCAAATATGTTTTAGAATTAACAACAAATTGAATTTTTTTAATATTTTGTAGTTTTTCTCGAATAACCTACAAATTATTCATGTTCATCAAATTTTACTATACGGTATCTAACAACTTAAGAAATAACAAAAAATTATTAAGATAATTATTTTAAAACACCATATAACTGATTGGTTAATACCACAATAGCACTAAATTATGAGAACGGAACTGAAAGCCAAAAAGCTCAAACACAAAAATCCTAATTTTTTATCGACCAATAAGAAAGATTATGTGATAGCACTAAATTTCTGATGATGAAATACGTTTCTCTATGCTAAAGAAGTGTAAATAAACTAATTTCAAAGAGATATATTTCTGTCAATCTATATTCTCCAGCATCGCAATATCGGCTTTAAAATAATAATTAGCGAAAATAAATTTTTTAGAATTTAAATATATAACCTTTGTCTGATAATACAAGAAGTCACTTAATTTTATTAAAAAAAAAAATTCAGCAGGGGGAATTCTAAATTATCAATAAGCAGCTTTACTCAAAATTTAATATTTCATATCTGATTATATTGAAACAATAAACCAATAAATTTTGAGAGAATTTCAGAGATCGGAAACAGAACATTCGATTAAGCATTTGAGTTTTAGTTTCTAATCAAATTAAATAATTTTCAAGGAAAATAGGATCACAAAAATTGAATCTTTAATAAAAATAAAATTTACATTTTTCTATAGGTTACATTAATTAAAGTCAACTTAAATGCATTTTCATAATCTTATGCAATACTTTAACAATGCCTTCAATAACATCCTTTCCACATCAAATGTTTTGTTTTTAAGTATTAGCGAAAAAATAAATCAAAATTTTAATTTCTTTAACAAAAATTTTCACTCTATAGCAAATTTTTCCTTTCTCTACTATTTAAATTGTATGCAAGTTTTTCTTTTAATTGCATATTTGAAAGAAAATTGTTGACAAAATTTTTCAAGAAAACAATTTTAAAGTCAATATAAAAAATTATTAAAGTTTTAAATGAAAATATTTTGCAATGAAAATTTTTCTTTAAAAATTTAAATAAAAAAAAAATTGCTTGTTTTTCTTTAACTTTAATTTTTTTTTTCGCTTTTACATCTTAAATTTTAATATTATTATTTTTACAAAAATTTTCTCAGTTAAATTTCAATAAACATAAAATATAGCAATCATGTTGCACTGAATATAATTTTAACGACACAAATACCAATGTATATAATACGACATACCTATATAAACATAATTACACAGGTGCATACATGAAGAAATAAAATAAAAAAAAATTTTTTCATTTTTCACATGAATAACGAATTTCGTTAATAATTTTTTACTCATATAACATTTGTATATATATATATAATATGCAACATAAATTATATTTATAATATAAACATAAATGTATACAATTATATACAAATGCCAAATTCTATACCAGAAATCTAAAAAAGAAAAAAAAAAATCATTTTCTACACAAAATGAATTTTTACTTATTGCAGTAACAAGGATTTTTATAATATTATAGAGAGTGTATAGGGTACACATAATATTTATTCTAATTTGTTTGACACAACAAAAAATAAAAAAGGAAAAAGAAAAAATAATAATTTAATTTTATTCATTTTTTACTTCCCACTTTTCATTTTACCTTACTCTTTTCCTGTTCTCTCCTATAGTCCTGTTAAAGGTAAACTGCTTATTTCTCATAATATTTTTTTGTTTTGAAATCTTTTTTTCTCATTTTCATTTTTGTTGTCATTTTTCTCATTTTTATATTTGTTGGTTTTTCTTGGTAACTTTTTGGTTTTCATTCCACTTTTTTTTTTGCCCTTTAAACATAAATTTTTCAAAAAAAAATAAAATTTATATAAAAATTAAATAAAATAACTAACATAACATTTGAAAAATGTTTTCTTATTTTCATGTTTTTATTTTCGTAAACTTTCAACTTTATTTTTCAACTTGGATTTCAAACAACAAAAAAATTTCGCATTGGAATCGGGGGCGAAAAAAAAAATCATGATGCAATAACAATGTTTTTAAAAATAACAAAAAATTATTTGAAAATACAAAAATCTTTTTGGAAATTTTCTTCTATATTTACCGAATCTATTTAACCTTGGGAATTTCAAACAACAAAACAATAATATTTTTTTTTTTGATATCAACATAACCTATTTTGTGGTGGTTTTACAAAAAAATAACTTCAATAATACCATTATCATGCTGCATATACACGAATATTATGGATTTGGTCTTGTACTTAATGGAATGATCACGAAACAACCATTTCTTCAACAACATATTCAATTTATGCTTTCAATATATTGCACTTACATCTTGTACAACATGATGAATGATAAAACCACAATTCTATTATGATTATAACACTACATCCTATATATATATATATATATATATGTATATAGCTCATATAAATCATATTAGAAGAGTTGCTGGTATAGACCATGTTGGTTTAGGAGCTGGATTTGATGGCATCAATTTGTAAGTATTAAAATGAAATTAAAAAAAAAAATAAAATAAGAAAATAAATAAGATAAAGCAAAAAAAAATTTTTTTATCCCTTCATCTTTGCTTTTTAATAGCAATTTGAATGAGAATACGACAGAAAAAAAAACACAAATTATTAAAAGAAAAAAATAAGAAAATATTAAAAAATAGTAAGGAAGGGAAAATTCACATATTATTAAAAGTATGGTGATTGTTGAATTTTATTAAAAAAAAATTTTCCAATCAAAATTTTTATCAAAATTTTTTGTCTAATTTTTTTTCTCCACACATTAATTTATTAATAACTAGGTAACTTTCTGCGAAGAAAATAAAGAGTAGCCACAAATAGTTTCGCGAGCTTCGCAAGACTATTCTAGACAACTTTTCAAAATTCAGTGGTGATCAGATGAGTGATTAATTGGTGAAATACGGCCACATCAAAAGAGGGTTTAGGTTGTCATTAAAAGAATATATAAAATATATAATAAATATATAAAATATGTATATACAAGATAAAGACTGAAGTGGGTATATTTGAAAAAATATTAGTAAATTTTGTCTTTTAACCTTTCCTTGACAATTATGTACTTCTAAATATTGATTTCATTAAAATCATCAATATGCTGGTGATTTTCCCCCATTTTTAAGGTCTTGGCAATCAAAAATTTTGCAGTCAAATTTGAATTTTTTTAAAATATCACGTTATTGTCAATTTTATTTTAAGTACTGATTTCTCATTTTTATATGGTACTACAATAATCAAACCCCAATTCGTTGCATATCTCATTTTATTCGCTTAGTTTTGAGACGTGTTTTTATTTACTTATTACTTAATTATGATTTTTTTGTGTTTGCGATCAATATGACGTTGATAACCAAATCCGTTTTTGAGCATTAGGGCTAGACTTTTAAAGCCCTTTAAAAAAAAATCAACAATATAAGAAATATTGCACTTTAGAATATTTCACTCAAATTTGAGAGTAAGAGATAGATCTTGTTTAGATTTAATTTAGAAGCTTTTACCGAAAGTTTATATTATGAGAAAGAATTTAGTAAAAAATAACTTGTGTATTATATAGTAGTTTTATTACTTTAAATACCAAAAGAAAATCAAAAACGTTCCAAGATTACAATATTTTTAAAATATTTTAGAAACTTCGAAGAATCATAATGAGTTTTAAAACCATTTCAAGAATTAAGAGAACCACGTAAAAATTTAGAATTGAAATTAAAATTCACAATATTGTCTTCATTAACTTTCTCGTCTTTTTATAAGAAAAACATAAAATTATTGGTTAAAGTTTTTTAAAAATAAAAATTAAAATGTTTACAAAATTTAAAAACGTTAAAAGACTAATTATTGCAAATGGAATTTTTAAACTTTAATAGCACACACTTTTTGATGTTCTTCAAAATGGCACTTATTCCTGCATAGGTTGTGTTGTGAATAAAATTAAATAGAATTACACGCTAATGTATAAATTATAAATCCATCCAGTTAACGGTGTCTTACAATTTATAAATTTTTAAATATTAATTTAAAATAATCTTATTTAATAGATACCTAGCGAAAGTGTAAATGAAATTTATAAACCAAAAGTTATAAATTTTTTATATGTTAACCAACAAAAAAAATTGAACATTGCTTTATTATTAATAAAGCAATTCAAGCCGTTGATAATTTTCCCTTCTTTTTTTTGTAATTTATCTATTCAAGCAAAAATCTTATTTTCATTCAATTGAGCACCTAAAAAATTTTATAACCTAATCGGATTATTTATATGAATGGAGGATTTTTCTTGACCAATTTTATCATTTTCCTAAACTAACCCTATATCGTTTATGTTATCGTTTTTTATTATTTAATAACCAACACCTTTTTTTATGTTCTTTTCTTTTTAATTTTCCATTTTCTTAATATTTAAGTATTAAATTCATATAAAATGATAAAAGGAAAAATTTTTCTAATACACCTATAAGCGGTTTTATACCACACACATCTATAATGTGTATGTGTGTGTGATTAAAAAAAAATTAAAATTTAATATTTTTTATCCTTCATTCCTTCGATTCTAATTGAAATTGATTTTATGGGTAAATGAAAAAATGAAAATGAAAGAAAAAGTGTTTTCATATTTAATAAAATAACTTAATTTATTTCAATTTCTTGTCAGATTTTTGTAACAAAACGAGAAAAATTTCAAATTATTCATCTATGGTTACCCTTTTTTTTGTTACTTTTTTTGATTCTCTCTCTCTCTCTCTCTGTCTCTTTTCATTTCGGAAGCAAATTTCTACATTTTGGTTTTCAAATTTTTTTTTTTGGAAAAGCGACGTTTGTAAAAGGACAGAATTATTTATGTTATTTTTCTTTCTTTTCTTAACAAAATGAAGAAAATGTACTTATTAATTTACTGTGTTCGGCTGACTGTCCAATGATTTGTCCGATTAGTCCGTGTGTTTTTTTACAAGTGTTCTACATTACTTAGTGTATATAGGTTAATCTGAAATTGTATTCAAAAATTAGTTTTTACGGTAAACTTATTCCTTAGTTCCCTTCACTTAAATTTATAGATCCATGAAATTGTTATCTCTTGTTAACTTTCATCAGAATTACAAATACTTTATAATTTTCCTAAACATAGCTTCTCACTAATTGATTTACTACACATAAATTATTCACTAATTGATACCGTTTATTAGTATTTCATTATTCAAATTAGGCGTTTGACAAATAAAAAAACCTAAAGAGGTTTTTAAATTTTGCCATAAAGGCAAAATCTTAAATATGGGTAACAGTTGGGTAATTTTATTGCTAGTTCTAATAAAATAATTAGAACAAAATTTCTTTCTTTCTGTTAACCTTATTATAAAATTACAGGCTCTCAAGAAATAGAGTTTTAAGGCTTGTTAATTCTTTCAAAGTGCAAGCTTTATCAGTTTTTTTATAAAAACTAAATCTAAAGACGTTCAATTTCTATTAAAGAAGTTTTTATTTCCTCCTTCAAATATGCAACAAGAATATACTACAAGAGTTTTTTAACAACTTGAAATTACTTTAGTGAAATGTGCTACAGAATTTATTAAAGTTGACCCGAGCTTATTTTATTTTTTTTAATGTTGGTAAATACTATATCCAAAAAGGGCACTAAAATATTAAGTCTTTATTTGCATTAAGTAAAAATTCTAATAATAATATTATGGCCTTGGTAATATTTCATCAATTATTAAAGTGGTAGGGACATTAATATTTTTTTTGTTATTCATCCATTCTTTGTGTTCATTGTATTATTATGAATTATTAACACAATCCATTCGAATTATGATGACTAAGTACTTAAAAAAGTTTAAATTTATTTTTTTTGAAATAAGAAAATTTCAATATTTTCACAATTAGGAATTAAGGATTAAGATATTTGTATACTAAATTATTGTATCTAAATTTATATAGAAATATACGAACACATATTTTTTGTTACTTAAGAACAGTTATCAAAAATTACAAAATATCAGTACCGAACGCGGCTAGAATGATTTAAGAAACTCTTTAAAGACTGCTTTGATACAAGAGAAATTAAAAAGAGAATGGTTTTTTGTAAGCCTAAAACGTGTTTTACATAACAAGGTAACAATTCTTGAAAAGTTTAAAATTCAGGAATGCTTTCTATACCAGTTAACATTAAAGAAGAACATTCAATTTTTCTGTCTCAAATTTTCTTTCACCAAAAGACCCAAATTTTTGCAACAAAAACCTAGAACAAAATCTAGAATGAAATCTAGAACGTAAACCAACATAAATCAGTCTCAAATCCCCTTAAAGTCAAAACTCTTAAAAACATTATCATTTTTGTGATTCGTTTGTTTCAAAGATTCAACAACCTTTCCAATTTTCCTGAGATCAAAATAAAAAATCTTTAATTGGCCTTGCAATAAGTTTTGACGCCATGAATTTACTGTATAGTTTTGTTTCTTTTTTATTATTAAAAAAAACTCTTAAATAAATGAAAAATTAAAAAAAGAATGAAGGGAAAAAATTTCAAAAATTAAAAAATTACCATAACTTGAGTTTATGTCGACCGCTTGTCTCTGTCTGTCTCTTTTTCTCGCTTTAATAACTCTGATCTGTAAAGTTCAACAAAAAAAAAGTAATATACAATGTTTAACCACTTACAAAATGAAAGTAGAAACTTTGAGAAATTACATTAGGAGTTTTTACTTTTTTTTATTGCTCTTCTGTTATTAAAACTTTATTTTCTTTCTCATTTCAACTTTTTCTTCAACTTAGAAATCTTTTATTTTTTTTTGTAATTTTGAATTAAAAATTGGCTATATTGTGTTTCTAATGTATTCTCAGGCAATTGGGAATAAAAGAGAACGAATACGATATGGAAATAAAAGAAAACGGTATGTAGGTCTTTAGGCAAAAAATCTACCTACCAAAAAATTTTTTGTTTTTTTTTTTTTTTCGTTTACAAAGTAAAAATATGCTAAATGCTAAAATTTCGAAATTTAATAATAGTCCCATTTAGTGTATACAGGGAAGATGAATTAAATTTCCGTTTTAATCAATTTTAGGATATGCCAACACAAGTGTACTTATTTGAATATATATATAGGACAAAGGTATAAGATATGACAATTTTAATTAACAATCCATAGGGAAAATTAAAAAAAAGGTACCTATATTATGAAATGCAATTAAAATTAAATTGTGAAAGAAAATAAGAATTGAGTTCAAAAATTTAAATTTAAATTTTTTTGGCGATGTTGGTTTCTTATTTCATAAATTAATAGATATTATAAAAATTCATTCTTTTAAATCGGTTTTTAATACCCTGGAGTTTAAGTAGGCTGTCGAAAGCTAAATATTCCTAAGAAATCAGACGCCAAGCATACCTTTTTCTTTTGCGATTGACCCTCAATTTATGATCCCTCATCGATTCTTTATATATTCCAGCTGAGTAACTATATTTGGTTGTTGTGGAGTTCATTAG